CCACCAAAGCTGAGAAGCTCTGATCTCCCACCCTCACTTTCAACTTTGGCAGCTCCGACTCTCTCTCAATGAGGCTATTTACCGAGAGAACGTCATCCTCCCCCGCCCTGTCAACTCCATTAGCCAATCGGTCGGGCGCGCTTCCGACTGGCCCTACCAGTTTAAAGGCTGCTGCTGGGGCGGCACGCGGTCCCGGACCGCTGGGAACCTGGGAGCCGTCATCCGGCCCCCGGGCGGGTAATTAGGTCTCGGTCCCACGCCACGCCAGAGCGGCCCGCCCGGCGCCGGCGCCCTCATCGCTCCCCCAGTGTACACTCCGCGCGCTACTGGCAGCCGCGGGCAGGGACAGTCCCGCACGTAATGGGGCCCGGCGCAGTTGAAACAAGCAACCGGTCCCCTCGGAGCGCCTCCCATGGGGCGCGGCGGAGCCTGCCCCTGGTATCCCGGAGCAGCGGGCCGTAGTATGGGATACTGGGGCAGCCGAGGCCGATAGCCCACGGCGTTCACCCAGTATTCCATCGCGCTCGGACCACTCAGATGCGGGGAGTAGCCGGGCGGGCAGTTAGAGGCCGACGGCTGAGCCCATTCCAGCCCCTGGTCGCACATGTCCGGCCCCGACTGGGGCGGGTGCCCTCCCGGTCCATAGAAATTGTCACCATATGTTGTCTCCCCCAGCCCAGGGTCAGCCATTGTCGGGTGAGACAGTGCCGTCTCGTACCATGGGCCAGCGGATCCTGACGGACCGGCCGAGTCCGGCACCGCCCCCGACCCATATACAGCGGCCCCATAGGCCGGAGGGACCGGCGCGTGGAATGGGAGCGCGTCCGCCCGGCCGTGTCCGGCTGCAGAGTAGGGCGCAGACAATGTATGCGACCCCAGCGCGTGAGACAGAGCCTCGGCGGTGCTGGCTATGTGGGTCGCCACCGTCTCGCGGAGCTCGCGCACGGCTCCGCGGATCTCCTCTAGCGCCCGAGGCGTCTCCTCTCCGATCTGATTCACTCGGACGGAGCGACCGCCCGAGCGCTGCAGGGCATCAAATGTCTCTTTGCTGGTCAGCTCGATCACGGCGGCATCCAGGTCCCCTATGCCCTTCAAATGGATCCGCTCGAGATTTGTGGGCTTCAAGCCCTTCAGGAAGTGTTGGTAGATGAGTTTCTCGCCCAGTTGGCGGATGGGCTCGTCTTGTGACTGAGTGAATTGCGGCCATGTTTTATACGCGAGCGATTTAAGCCGCTGCGCATACCCCCGGGCGGTCTCGGTATCGCCCTGCTGACAGCTCGTGAGCTGCAGCAGGTGCGCCACCGGGTCCGTGGGCTTGCGGAAACGGTTAAACAGCCCGCGTTTAAAATCTTTCCACAGGTGACCCAGCCCGAACACGTCCGAGCCCACCTGTTTGGATGCCAGATACGTTTTGAGGAAACCCTTTGCTGGGCCTCTCAGGCGCATCGGCATCACCTTCATAATGTCATTGGCGTCGAGGTTTCCCAAAGAGGCCGCGTTCTCCACTGCCTCAAGAAAATCCCCGACGCCCACGCTTCCCTCCTTGTCCGGCTCAAACATGGGAATCTCCCGTAATGCCCCCAGGTTTTTGGCCGGAGGCAGGACCGAATACGTGGACTGGTCGGGCCCATATGTGGCCCGAGGGCCCTCATCATCCGTGGTGGGCATAGCTCACACGAGCTATAACGTCACGCTAGTGAATTGAAATAATACGAACACTCCCCTGTTAGCACCCAATATTGCAATCTCCCCACACACCCTGAAAACCCACACTACAAAATAAAGACAAAACAAACACACGGACACTCACACGCTCCGCTCGGAGCAGATCGGTACTCACCGCGGAGCTCTCAGCTGACTCTCGTCAAATCACCGTGACGATGAGCCCGCGCCAGTGAGTCCTCCGAGCCTCTCGTGAACCTCACGAGACGGTGCGTGCCCGCACCCTGTGCGCGAGCAACCGCGCCAGCGATCTCGAGAGCCCTTCCGCTCTGTCGCTGCCGCGCCGACCTTATCGCTGTGTTATCGCCGTAATCGCCGACGTTATCGCTCCTGCGCCTGCGGAGTGCGTATCCTCCTCAGATATTGTGCGGTAGCAAATTGTCCCCCATGCCCCCCTTTAATTGGGCTGATTCACGCGTGTGAACGTGACGAAAGGTATGGAAACAAAGATTTACACAAGATATTGAAGCCAAAAGTAAGAACAGCTCGACCGGTAACCACCTCCAAGGGAGCGGAAATGGCCGAACGGCGCCCACGTCATGTCCTTTGACCCCGCCTCTGCGACACCCGGGCTCCGTCCGGGCCTCCCTCACGGCATTATCAGGACCGATCGGCGTTTTATCCCGGGTAGCGCTGGCCTTCCGTTGCGCCAGCACGGGCCAGTGGGCCGCGTGCCCGGAAGCGGCAAATACGCCCGGGTACCAATGTGCCCTGGTGCCGGGGAGCGGAATACTACACTTGTCGCGTGCCGCAGATTATGGCGGAAGGAACACTTCGGGCATCCTGACCTCCGATGGGAAAGATTTCCCGGCCGCGGTGCACCATTTTTATGTAGGGGTTTCAAGCATCGGAACCGGCAACCTTTTAATGGTTCCCCCCATGTACAGACATTACGTTAATCAAAGTTACTCTACAATGCCCGCCTGCCACCCGGGTGTATTAAACTAAGCGGCCCGTATGATTGTTCGTTCACGTTCACCGTGTATCAGCCCGGCATCTGCCTTTACCCAATTCAAAGATTTGGCTCACATTCCCATTACATTGTATTTTGGGTCTCGCGGGACGAAGTGTCATTCTCTCGGATCATTTTCCTCACGCACACTATACACATCACACTTACAATCGCTCACTCATATACGCCACGCGCCGCGCCGATTAATTATAATTTAGATGGGACTGTCCTGGATATAAAACGGGAGTGCCCACCGCTATTTGCGGCGGGTCGGAAAGCCAAATGAAATCCAGGACATTTGTCGGGGACTTCCGCAGCGCCTGGGCGCTGCGGCGTTAATTTAGGGGGGAGGGAAAAGTTCGCTTACCGAAAGATGTTGCCCCGACGACACCGCACTGGCAAATGCCACGAGAGGCGGGCCCGCGAGTCCCAGGTGCCGGCCAGCCGCAGCCTTTCACCCGGCGGGCACGCCTTTCCCGCCGGAGGCTATCATGCGGCGGACTGGCCTTACACGCACTCTGGTACTCCGGCCCGCCATTTCTCTCCGACGTATGAATTTTGCCCTTACATCTCTCTCTCTCTCTCTCTCTCTCTCTCTCTCTCTCTCTCTCTCTCTCTCTCTCTCTCTCTCTCTCTCTCTCTCTCTCTCTCTCTCTCTCTCTCTCTCTCTCTCTCTCTCTCTCTTCTCTATCGCTTACTCTCTCTCACTCTCTCTGTTCAGCCTTTGTCTCTGTCTTTGTCTCTGTCTCTGTCTCAGTCTCAGTCTCAATCTCGGTCGCAGACCCTGCTCTTTCACTCACAATCCGTCATCTCTCCTCCTCACCAAGTCCATTACCATTTTCCCGCGTGCGCCCCAAACATACCTCAGTGATTGGCCGCGAATACGTCAGCCGAGCCAATGCGCATTATGATCCTTGATGTTTGGCGGACAGGGTGTTCCGCGCCTTACAGGCATTTGCTCGGTTACGTGTTCGGGGCCAACATGCCCATGCGCCCGCTCGCTCAGTCATCCCTGTCATCTGATCGGTCCAATATCCCGTCACGTGTCCTTTCCTCCGCCGCATCGTCCGTCGTCTATGTATCTCCCTCGTCATTTAAATTCCCCTCCCCCGGTCATCGTCCCCACCCCTCGTCCCAACAAACACATTCCCTCCCCTGCCCGAGACCCATCCCTCCCCAGTGCTCGGACAAACGCAATCAAACACCTGCCTTGCCCTCCCCCAGCCCCGTCCCTCCCCACGACCCATGGCGCGACAGGCGGTCCACCCCTCGCGTGCCGACCAGCGGCGCAGCGGGCGTTCCATGCCTCGAGTTCCGATCAGAGGCGCCGGCGCGCCCCTCTGTTATCGTTCATTGTGCGCAAATCTTTCGTCTCTCGAGTTCCTCTCGAGCGACAAATCAATCTCGGGCGCTTCATCGCACGACTCTCTCGTCATCGCACAACTCATCGCACGACTCTTTCGTCATCGCACGATTCATCGCGCGACTCTCTCTCTCTCTCTCTCTCTCTCTCTCTCTCTCTCTCTCTCTCTCTCTCTCTCTCTCTCTCTCTCTCTCTCTCTCTCTCTCTCTCTCTCTCGCGACTCTGTCTCGCGCGACTCTCTCGCACGACTCTCTCGTGCGACCCTCTCTTTCTCTTTCTCTTTCTCTCTTGCGGCGCGATGCCTTGCCGCGTGTCTCTCTCGCGCGCGATCCCTCGTCGCGCGTCTCTCTAGCGCTCGATTCCTCATCGCACGTTTCTCTTTCTCTCTCGCGGCGCGCGGCGCATTCTAATTCTACACATGCCTACACCTATTGATACACATGAATTCATACATAACATCACCCTACTTCACCAATTATTGATTCGCACTCAACATACCAGTCAATATCGTTCCTTCCTCGGCAGTCAGCGTCCCATTGCGCCATCCTCCCCTCGGGGAGAATAGCCAGTGGCAGCACTGCCACGCTGCCTCACAGATCAGGGGCGAGGTGCCTCCCTCACTCCCAGCGCCTCAGAGGCCGGCCCTCCGGCGGGCGATCAGATCAGCCGACCGGCGGAGGGAAGGGCACTGGTAGGCTGAGTTAGGGACCCGCCCGGATCCCAGACGGCCAGGCCGCGCGAGGCTCCATTCACTCCCATATCCGTGCACGAAAAGATCGGAATAATATAAATTAGGGGTTGAGATTCAAAACGCGTGTGACGTTAAAGATGAGACGTCTTTAACGTCACACTAGCGAATGACAATAACACGTACACTCCCCTGTTTGCACCCTATATTGCAATCTTCCCACACACCCTGAAAACCCACACTACAAAATAAAGACGAAACAAACACACGGACACTCACACGCTCCACTTGGAGCAGGTCGGTGGTCTGAGGCGGGACAGAGGCGGTCGGGGTCTGGGGCGCGGCAGCCTCAAAGAGGTCCTCGTAAAGTTGTTGGAGCTCAGCGTCGCCCGCGACGGTGGAGATGTCTTCTGTGTTGGCGTCCACCGCTTCTCCCCGGAAGGAGACGACGTTGTCTTCTGAAAAGACGAAGAAAATCGATAAAACTCCGTAATGAGTAGGCTTTTCCTTCGGACAGGCAGCCCTTTGGAGGGAACAGAGGGAACTGAGGAACCCGCACATGGGATGTCCCCTGAGGAACCCGCACATGGGGTTTGCTCTGAGGAACCCGCACATGGGAGCTGCCAGCGGCGACGGTTGGAGCGGCGCTAGCTGGTGGCCGTTCGAGCACCAGCTGGATCGCGGTCGCCGTCTGTCTGTTTAGCACACCGCGGCTCTGGAACAGCTCGGCACGCCGCTCGACCTGCGGCAGGATGAGCTGCGTGGCGAGGGCGCGCAGGAAGCGCATCCGGGCGCCGTGACGGATGTCGCAGTGATCGGATGTCGGCTGAGCCAGGCAGAAGAGGTGGAACCCATTGAGACCGGCGACGGACAGCAGGTACAGCAGCACCCGCACCGGCCACCGCCTCACAGTTGCTTGGCAGGTGGTCGCCTCGATGACAGCGTCACATACGTCTATTCCGCCCTTCGTGGAGTTATAATACAACACCACTTCTGGTTTTCCGGTCACCTGGTCGACCAGTGGCAGCCGGTGCTGCGACGACGCCACGAGCACGACCTTCTTGGCCTTGGGGCAGTACGACACGAGCTGGATGTTCCGGTGGCAGATGAGGCTGCCGCCCGGCTCCCGGCCCTCGGTGGTGGTCATCTCCTTCGGCAGGAGAGCTCGGCTGGCCCGAAGGGTTCCGACCACCGTGAGGCCCATCTCGTCTCGCAGCTGCCCTACCAGTTCGATGGACGTAGAATACCTATCAACACACATACCATCCGGGTCAGATATTTGTTTTATTCATTGCAACAATTATTGTGCTACGGCAAAAAGTGCTATTTTGAATAGTTGTAGCCTAAAGGTCACCTTTAGTTGTTCCACACAAATTCCGCTGTCAGCTTTCACATTGAAAAACATGACAATTTACAGAATGAAATAAATAATGCTTCATACAATCGGTAAGCTTTGGTTATACGGTGACCAAATTTTAAACTAACAATACACTGCATAAATAGCGGTGCTCACCTAGGTTTCGGCTGTGCGGGCGGAAGGCGGGTGGGGTGGTGACTTTGACTGCTGGAAGTGGAGGATGAAGAGGAACTGCGATTGCGGGATACAGGAACGGAGCGAGGAGCAGAGGGCGAAAGAGATCACTGGTGACTGGATACGGATAGGTCGTCAGGAATGTAGGCCCTCGTACTCAAAGAGGTCCTCGTAAAGTTGTTGGAGCTCAGCGTCGCCCGCGATCGTGGAGATGTCGTCCGTGTTGTTGTTGGTCGGTTGTCCCCGGAAGGAGACGACGTTGTCTTCTGAAAAGACGAAGAAAATCGATAAGACTCCGTATTGAGTAGGCTTTTCCTTCGGACAGGCAGCCCTTTGGAGGGAACAGAGGGAACTGAGGAACCCGCACATGGGATGTCCCCTGAGGAACCCGCACATGGCATTTCCCCTGAGGAACCCGCACATGGGATGTCACCTGAGGAACCCGCACATGGGAATTGGGATGTCCTCTGAGAAACCCGCACATGGGATTTCCTCTGAGGAACCCGCACATGGGATGTGCCCTGAGGGCCCGCACAAGGGATGTCTCTTGAGGGGTCGGCACAAGGAACTCCCTCTGAGGGACCCGCACGTGACACATCTGATATTTCTTGGGATCGTTTGGCTCTGGTGATCTCCGAGCCTCCCAAAGTGGCTTTCAGGGTTGGCAGGGGGTGGCAAAAACTGGTTTTTGCCAGTGGTTTTAACCGGTTTAAACCGGCTGGCAGAAACCCTGGTGGCAAGAACTGGCAAAAACTGGCTAAAACTCAGATGGCCAAACATACAACTTTTCTAGTTAGGAATGGATTTGAAATGAGTACAAATGCATTTCTGGTAGTTATATAGATGCACTAAACATTCTGAAGTTGCCTCATTAGGTACTTATCCCTGCTTAAAATGTCTATGCATGTCAGTAGACATCCACAACGGAATGTTTTTCCATGTAGGGGAGAGTGGGACAAGGCGGCCACAGTAAGTAGGGTGTCATGGGGTGCCGTGCGCATATCAGTGGCAGATACCTCTTCGCACTTCTGATTGTGCAGGACTCACCCAGTCACCCTTGCACTGGCTCATTTGTCACCCCCAAAAGGCATCTTACTGGCTCCTCATGGATAGCCCATGAAAATGTTTCTGAGTTAGGTATGAAACATTTCAATGGTCAATGTCACTTCTGTTTGAAAGCATAAAGCTTTCACCGAATTCTCCTTAAAATGTTTCCTGTTCAAAATCATGTCTAGGCATAGCATTGTGATATTTATGAGTTTTTGCCATTTTTTGCCACTTTTTGCCGGTTAAAACCGGTTTAAACCGGCAAATGGCATAAACTAGTTTTTGCCGGCAAAAATGCCAACCCTGGTGGCTTTAAATCGGAGTTAGCTTAGTCATCGTCATAAGTGGTCTCTACAAGTTTTCCACTACCTTCGCCACACTTTCGGTACCTTAAGTCGCTGAATCCTCTTATGTATCTGATTGTTCTGGACGTGACTCCTGCCGGATATAAAGAAAAGGGAACGCATAACAATTAGAGGGCGCATATCAAGCGCAGAGGGGATGGTAGCAAATTTGTCATCGATTACCTCAAGGCGACAAATTTAGTGCGCACACGAAGGTTTGGGGCTGCCTTGGTGCCGACACCGGAGAGCCGTAGGGCGGAAACGGGTGGTTTGGCCATAGAGGTTGTGGCTGCTTTGGCGTGCTCGGTGAATTTATCCACCTCTGTGCCGTGCACTCGGGCAGTGGCCTCCAGCGCGGCCGACGACGGCTCCCGGCTGTGCTCAGACTGAGTATGCGATCGAAATGTCATATAACAAACAAAGTGCGGAAACTTCACGAGCGACACATGTGTCCCTATGCACACTGTGTACTATTGCGGTACATGCACTGGTAGTTTTTTGTCCACTACAACTGCTTTCGCTTATACGTACAGCAATCTCTACCTCCCTATTTACAGATACAGCGCCCTCGGTGGCTCACGGAACGTCCCGCGACAGAATGGGCGCGTCTCCCGTCAGATGCCAGTCGTGAGGATTACATGACGGAGGCAGTCCAAACATCCATATCCGTGCATACATGGGAAAACAAGTGCTCTCCGCACTACCTGACTCCAAGGGCGAAGGCAGCCTTGACATTCCTGAAACAATTAAAAGGGGAATCGGAATAGTTTTCTGATGATCGTATTTTGAAGTTACTGATAGCTTACAGTGTCTCACGCTGTAGCCAGCAATATGTTTACTATTTGCACAAGATGTTTTCCGTTTGAGGGCCACTCGTGCCAGCTTTGGTGAGGGACGGGGAGCGTGGCTCAACGTTTCTATTTGACTTCGGAGATCTGCTGCGGTGTGGGTGTCTGCCGAGCTGCTATCGTGTTTCACTGCACTCATTCCGTGGCATCAGAAGAATATTTCTCAGGGTGCCTTCGATTTTGATTTCTCGCAGGACTGACACATTCCTGGCATTCCCTCTGTTGCGGACGGAAAATTCACTGACCAGGCTCAGGGCTCAAACACACTGCTCTCTTGACCTTCGAATCTATTTGACCCCAGATTCAATCACGACACGAAATTCACGAGCGATGCAAGAATGATCTCCCGACATGACCTTTGAACGAAGAATGGGGGCCATAAGCCCGCCCCCATTCAAAAGAGACGCATTTGAGCCCCCTTCAATCATTGGCGAACAACTACTACGCGTCCGATTACAACCATTCCAATCAGGGCAAGAGTAACAAACGACGAAAAATCTACCGAAATGTAAACAAAGAGTGAAATAAACGGCGCAATGACACAAATAACTGGCGCAAGCGTTGCCAAATGCAGCCATATTCTCTACTGTAGTACATTTTATCTACTCTAGGACTCGGTAGACTCAGAGCACCTAGATGGCACCACTATCGGCCCAGCAGTGGGCACCACCATCCAAGCGGATAGCCCACAGCCGCAGCAGTCGACAAGACGGAATCCGTAACACCCTCGATGGGACGTTCTCTTTTGTATGCCGAGACACTTTCAACGCCATGTCGTAATTGACGTATATTACGGCGGCACGTCTATGACCAATGAAAGTCAATGCTTGATGCGCCATGTCAGTGCTAAGATCTGCCATCTGGCTTGGAACTCAAATCGTTGCACTGGACGCGAAATCTAAGAAAGCAACCGGGATGCAAAACCGACACGTCGCGTTCCCGCCCCACCCCCGCGCGCGCTCAGTGCTGCGTCAATGCCGCTGTCAGATCTGCTGACCCGACCCTAGCTTGGTAACGTGATGGACCGCCGCGTGCAAGACATGCAGCCGGCCGGCCACTCACGACAAAGCTTGTGCCTGGCTGGCGGCTAGCCCCGCTGTTGTGTGCGCCGGGGCGGTGTCCCGGCGGCTGAGCGCCACCTAGTCCGCCAGCAGCGAGCGCCGGTAGCGCAGCAGTAGTGTCGGGCCTCGGCTTTCCACTAGGCACTGGTGCATGGCCAGGTCGTCCGCCCGCAGACCTAGCACAGCGTCGCGGAATTGTGCGCAGCGGTAACTGAGGATTTGACACATGTCTCCTGATGTCTCCTGAGGGGCCGGACAAGTCCCTCAGGCCTCTCCTCTCCAGCCGTGCCGTCAGTTCCTGAATGAGAATTTTAGTCATCGCGCTGTAAGCTCAGTCACGTAGGTAAATCACAAAACCGACCGCGCCATGTTGTATTCTTGAATTTCGGTTCGAAGTGAAAGAGTAAGGAAATGAAAAACGCGATTTATTTTATGACTGTGTGTCCGGGCCGAAAGAATGATCGAAACTAAACAAGGATGGCGTGCGTCGTCTCTCGGCGCCCGCGCCAGTCATGCCGCTCGCGCCCGCACCGTCAGCTGGCGGGGCACGGGTGCGCTCAGGTGCGGAGCCGGGTCGGCGGCACGGGCGCGCCTGGCCGTGTATTCGTGTCCACACGAGAGTCGAGACTGAACAGACAGCGGAGCACAACGTGAACAGTCACATATCACGCCACATGGCGCTGCATCCGATTGGTCACCCCTTTGGCGCGAATGCCTCCCATTGGCGGACAGCGATCGGCTGATCGCGCCAGGTCACAGGCCGAGGTCACGTGACGGCGCGTCGGTGGGGTTACTACTGGAAGCGATATAACGAACTGAAAAATTACCCCTAGAGAACAAAAGTAAAAAAATAGCTGGCATCGAAGGACAACCCAACAGGACTCCCTCTGAGTGACCCGCACATGAAACATCTCCTGAAGTTGCCTGGGATCGTTTGGCTCTGGCAAGCTTTGAGCATCCCGAGATAGGTCTTAATTGAAGTTGTATATGATGTAACGTTTCCCTGAGCATGATGATTATCAATATGAATGTTAAAATTGACCTTATGCTCATAATAGTTCTTGGAGGAATTCTTCGTCTCACTTTCGGCATGCCAGGTCGCTAAAACCTCTAATGTCTCTGATGTTCCTGGGCGTGACTCCGGCTCCTGGATTTGAAGAAAGGGAAAAAACTGTTAACCGTAGCAATGCACTCTGTCAACGGATAATGCGATAAGTAGCCAAGAAACTAAATTAAACAAATGAAATCTATTTAAAAACGCTAAACTTTCAGTTGACGGAGCATTGATCACTATGTACATAATTTTATGTTTGGGAACATTAGCCGAAGGAAATATTGGTGAGCTTGTGAAAAAGATGGACTTAACAACGGGA